TCAACGTTAACAGATACAATAAAATGTAAATCTTTGGATCTCCCGATCTTTTTGACCAAAATTTTTTTTTTTTTGGATCATAATCTTTAGAATATTTTATGTCGGTAATTTCGAACATAACTAGCTTAAGAGGTGGATGGTGGAAGTGTTCTTACTGAGAATATCTCAAGATAGCTTTAATTTAATTGATTAGAAATGTAGATTAAATCATTATCAACTTGGCCAATTTAAATTTTGTAGCATAATAAGTATCCGCGTATTGGACTCCATGTTGTTTCATGTGACGCTGGTTTGTGGGTGTGACAATGGTTTAGTACTACAACAACTTTCTCAGAGCGTCAAATAATGCATGGATCAAGTTGAAAAGGAGATGTCTCAATTTTTTCGCAAGCCATCGCTTACACGAACAGGCAAACGGATGGACGACTTTGAATTGTCTCATTATTCTGATGACTTTTATGTATATAAGATAATCCTATATATATATTATATTTATACCCATAACAGGGTGTACCTATTATATTTTCCACGAAGTTTCTAACACGCAGAAGGAAGAAAATATATGATCAGCGTGACGAGCTGACTGGATTTACCTATTTACCGTCTGTCTGTCCGTCTGTATACCTATATGCGAATTAGTCCCTCATATTTTAGGGATTTCGATCTGAAATTTTGCCCACGTACTTTTCTCCTCAAGTAGCTACTCAATTGTATAAATCGCCGATATCAAACCACAGTAGCATATAGCTGCCATACGAACTAACCGATCACAAACAAGTTGTTGTAAGAAAAACTTTTTTATCTGACAAATTATCTTCCCGAAATTTGGCATAGATTTTTGTCCAAGACAGCGCATCAATCTTCGAGCTAATTGTTCAGATCGGATTAGTAGAGCTGAGAGCTGACCGATATATATATATCACTATAGATACCTATTTACGATTGTTTAAATAAAACTTTATGGCTAATAAGAACTATCAAACTGTTGGCCAGTTGGTTTTTAACTATTATACTCCGTGCAAGGAGTTGCGAGGGTGTAAGAAATTGCTCATTCTTTCTCAGTGTTATTCACTTAGCCGAGGTGGTAAATGAAACTATAAAATGCACAGAGAAAGGTCGAAAAAGTGTAACCAGCACAGACGCTCCGCAGAGATAAACTAAGTGACAAATATGATTATGGAGATTATTTTATTTAAGGTTGGCACTGTATGTACAAACATGTTGTGGCAACGTCTCTGTTAGCAAAGCAATAATATTCCAGATAATGAACTCATGCATAAATAATGTTTCTGGGCAATGACGCTGCTCATTTTATTGCGCAAAGTTGCAATTTTCATTTTGTGCACGCTTTATTTATTTATATAATACTTTCTGTATATTTTTGACCGACACTGAAGGAATTACATTCAAAATATTTGCATTCTGCGGACACTCTTCAAGGCTCGCCTTCACTTGTTTGCTTATGCAATGCATAGCCTACGACGAGGCATGAGGCGGAACAATTCTATTTAGTTTGGCGTCGGTTGTTCACTTTTTTGTTGTTGTGGCTACACTTTTCATTGAGGTTACGCTCTTCTTTAGTTAGCACACAACAATGGACTTTTCAGCTCTCCAACGAGTCTCTGGCAATTACTTAAAGGATTATAGTCTTGTTAGTATTGTTACTGTTCCTGCTATATGCAGATTGTCTTTTTTTTTACCATAATTACAGGCATTGCATTGCAGTTGCAAGTAACTAACACAGCGCCTTAATGGCACTGCGGCCCTGCCTTTGTAGTTCAGTTTGGTGTTTTCTGCCTCTTCAACTTCTGCACTCGCTCCACATCGCCACAAAGCTCCCTTGCTGGTAGTTAACATAAAAGTTTCAAATTCCCCATTGTCTCATACGAAGTTTTCGTACTTGTACTCATATCGTCGCCTTTGGCTTCAATGTGGCCTGTTTGACGTAGCGTTTGCGTTAAGACTACATGTTGGAACCACTAAAGTGAGTCACCGACAAGTGAATTGGTGGCGTTGTAGGTACAAGTACTTTAAAAATAGAATAAATAATCGGTCATAAACTAACCGACCATCTTTAACGCTCGCTGCAACAAGCAACCGATTTAAGAAGTAAAACGAGTTTTAACGCATGTAATCTCTAGGTTAGAGTCTGGTGGCTTCGTTGTTCACTCAGTACTTTCGTCCCATAAAGTGTACTATATTTTCTCCTCGTTGTAGTTTTGTGTTTTGTTTATTTAGGTTTATTTTTGTTGTTGTTTCGTTTTTGTGTATTGGCGAATTTGCGCCAACAACTTGAGAAAGTTGCAACGCAAAGCATTCAAAGTCAAATAGAAAACTCAAATGACTGCCTTTTGTATGCCGCCTTTGGTGTCTTTTTACAACAACAATCTAAAAGTTTTCCATTATGTTGTTTTTGTGAGTTATTATTGTACTTAAGGCGCATTGGTGCTATCGCGTCTTTGCTTAAACGTATTTGGTATTATACTTTAACCCTTGAATGCAATGCCGTTAATTTAGTTTAGCTTTCGAATTCTAATCAACCGTCGCCATAGCTAATGGTGGTGAGATATAAGAGGGAATTATGTGGTCGAATATAAATCCGACTCCACTTCAATTATGTAATCCTTATAACCGATATATTTGGAAATACCAGACTTGTGGGAATGTGTAATTGCATATACTTGTATTGTTCACAAGGAAAATAGAAGACGTAATTTATTAATTTTAACTAGTTAAAACTATGAATATAAATAATCGTATGGAATCCTATCGAAACTGTTTAATACTTAGCTTTACCATATAAAAATAAGACTCATGATTCTGTATTTTTAAAGTTTTTCAGCAATTTGTTGGTGGTTCAAAGGATAATGCATTGAAATTAGGATAATGCTTGAATGGATATAAACTGAACCTTTTCATCATCCAATGGTTGGTCTATTTAACGGTCTCAGTATGCAATCTTATTTTTACAGGACTTTATTGTCATTTTTCGACTGTCATATACAACAACACTCAATTAAATAGTTACGTGAGAAATCCTTAGTTTATTGGATTTCAAAAAATTTGTGTGGCGCTGCGTATACGGAACACACTTTTGCTGAATTCTATGTAAGATAAATCAATGCCTAAAGCTTGAAACTGACTTTTGATCGCGTTTCATTGACAAATATATGGCAATGTGCTGAGGTAACGAAATACAATTGAAAATAATTGGCACAATTTAGGGTCTTCTGAAATTTTGCAGAATTTAGCATTAGAATTTAGTACTGGAAACCCACACAACCATCATTAAGCTATTACAAATTAAGCTGAATTGTGAATTTCAAAACATCGAATTTGAATTTGCATACAAATATATCGAACGTGGATGCTTGATAATATTTTCCGGCAATATAAGCATCTATTTGTAGCAATTTTTTAGTTTAGTGTAATCGGCTGGCAAAACTTTGAATGAAAATTTTTCCGAACAACTTGAAATTTTTATACGACCTTCTAAGATATATTTGTCGGGTAATGATCGAAGGAGTAAACGTTTTGATAAGAATTTTGATTCTTTGAGCCACTCTGAAGTGTAAATTTTTGAACAAAAATCAACTATTTTTTTAGAAGGCATAATTTTTTACTAGTCATTCAATCATTATGTGTATTTATTTATAGTACTAAAAGTTTTTTTTTTTTTGGATTCTCGATTTGAGATAATTTGAAGCAACAAAATCTTTCTTACCGCCAGAAAACTTTCTTCAGAGGCCCTCCGGGAAATCGCCTACGATTATTAAAATACATTAAATTCTGTTTATGTACATTATGGTAATGTAGGTGTTCAAAAAAATTCACAAAAAACGCGTTTTGTCTAACTTGCAAGTGGATATGATCCCCTCAGCTGTCCTGAAATATTGACACAGAATCGTTGTAAATTTTTCTATACACTAGAAAAATATGAAACACGGATTTTAAATGAAGAGCACAACTGTTTCCTTACCTTCCAAATGAAAAGAATTAAAGCTCTCATCCAAAATTTTACTCTCCGCAAAAGAAGGGTTAATTCTCTAAAACGGCTTACGTTAAAGTATCGTCGAAATCGGAAGCAAAATGGCTTACGTCGTTAACACTGTGTCTTGACATAAGCGCATTTGCTTTTCCTCTGCATGCTATCCTCGTAATAAAAATGCGGCTAATGGGCAATTGAAATGAAATGCAATTTAAACAAAATGCATGCATTCAACTGCGTCAAAGCATTTTCGTGGCTGGCGGGCCATAAAAGTGACACTCGTGCCACTCGACACCCAAACTTTCTTATAAACACACAAATAGCGCCAACGCTAAGCCAATCAAATGCTGTTAACCAATAAAGCCCACAAATTTACGCTGTATTTGTTCAAGTTTTATACACCAACAATAATAATACAAATACAATTGAGAATACACTTGATACAAAACTATCACAATCGCATTGCCACTTGTAAATGTCAAAATAACGAACGAAAAGGGCAAATTGCATGCAGTGACGACAAACAACAACAGCAACAAAATACACAAATGCAATTACAAGAAAATATATGAACCCAATAACAAAGCACGATAAAAAGTGATAAAGCATTGAAAAATTACCACAAAACGATGGGGAGTGGGAGGGGGGCATATTTTACACGACAAACGGCGCTAAAAGCAGGTGTACAAACAGCTGGCTAAGAATGAAGGGCAATGAAGTACGTATGTACGGATGCATGCATGTAAAAAGCATACATGTTCGAAATTTGTTTTTGAGCTAATTTCGGTGGTAACCGGTTTTTGCTGTTACCGCTATAAATAGGAATTTATATTTATCAATCACATTTACACATATCTGTCGTAAACATATTTTCCACAAAATAATCGACACTTTAAGAATCCTTCTAAAATTCATAAACGCTACAACATTTTTCACATATGAAATTGAATTGGTTTTACCAGTGCTTCGGGATTAAATGCTACACTTTTCAACATGCGGCTAATTTACATACCTGTCATCTGTCGGCTTATATGTCACAATATACTTCTCGATTGGATGCGCATTCAAATCGATCATCGTTTGCCAGGACACACGCACCGTTGTGGGCGTGAGGAACGTGACGGTGATGTTTTCGGGTGTGGCGGGTATGGTGCCTGCAAAATGATAGCAAATAAAAATACACTTTAATAAGAATAATATTAAATTAATCATTCAATGCAAGGACACAAGGACAATACAAATATCAATGTAATAAGTAAGAAAGAGCTAAGTTCGGGTGTAACCGAACATTTTATACCTTTGCAACTTGCGTACTTATTTTCAAGCAATTTGAAAAATATTTAAATATAAACATATGCATATATGAAGTAAAGTCAGCCGGACGTTTCAGAATCCTGAATATTAGTTATATGGGGGCTAAGGCAAGTTTTCGCCCAATTTTATCCATTTTAGGCACAAAGAAAAGCACGCTTTCTGATTTCATTAAAAGAATTAGCCGATAAATGTGGTATAAAGTTTATCGGAAGTTCGAAAGTTCTTTATATTAGGTATATGGGGGCTAAGGGAAGTATTGATCCGATTCAACCCATTTTTAACACAAGGGTATATTCATCATCAAAAAACATTCCGATTTTGACAATTTTAAAACCTCTAATGGCATACCCTCAAGGAAATATTCATGCAAATTTTTATCCCGATATATTAATTCGTGCTTGATTGTATACTGAAAAGTGAAAAAATCAGATGGAGTTGTGTTACGTGAAAAGTAGGCGCGGTAACTGTCCTATTTTATACAGTAAACCAATTAGGGGGCGCGGCCTCGCCCACTTTTAAAAAAATTTCAAAACACAGGTGCCCCTTATTATTACGATTCGTTGTACCAAATAACGATTTTTTATCTAAATTTGCGGCTTAGTTATGGCATTTTATTTTCTTCGATTAAAGGCGCTTTGTAGGCGTGACAGTGGTCCGATTACGCCCATCTACGAACTCGTCCTTACACGTGTACCCAGTTTCATTAAGATATCTCAATTTTTACTCAAGTTATCGCTTGTACGGACGGACAGACAGACAATCGCTCGGATTTCAACTCGTATCTTCTTCCTGATCATTTGTATATACAAAACCTTATATCTAACTCGATTTTTAGGTGATACAAACAACCGGTAGGTAGGTGAACAAAACCCTGTAGCAGCATGTTGCAGGAATATAAAAACAGTCACACTCAATACCAATACAATAATAACCACGAGTGATATTGTAAAAATAGAGCTGAAGCTAAGCACCACACGCTTAGTGGCGAATAAAAAATGGGGAATTGAAATTACTTATACGCCAAAGTGGGTCATGGCTGCAACGCTGGTGCCCGTTCGTGGCGGCATGGGGCGGACTTGGTGTAACGAAACACGAAACAATACAAAAAGTAGTAAATAAATTAAGTAAATGTTAAAGTTAACGCGCCAGCCACTGCAACGACGGAGCTGGCTACTTCTGAGGACAAATATGTCCACAAATACGGTGCGAGCGAGTATTTGTTTGCTTAATGGAATACCGCCAAGTACGAGTAACGCCAGACAAGACAACAGAAACCTTTACAACCTGCTGAGTATGACAGAATTGACATAGAAATTGACGCTTGAACAGTTGTATCGATGTTTGAATCAATGCAAAAATGAACGCCTCAGCGGAGAATTGCTGCATAGACGAACGAATTTGCGAATGTACTTAGAAGTATGTAAATGAAGGTGGGTATGTATGACATATATTTGCATACATACTTATTTTTCCTTTGATTACTCATGAGTCATGGCATTTTATTGCTAATGCAAAAGAACATTTTATGGTAATTGACACTGAACAATTATTTAGAGCTACTTTAGAAGCAATTTATGAGATGAGTATTCATTATACCCTGATCAGTGTACAAGTATATTAAGTTTGCCACAAAATTGGTAACTCTGTCTCTGTCTTGTGCCTCAGTTTTTGAGATATCGATCTAAAATTTTTTACACGTCCTTTTCTCTCTAATAACCTGCTCATTTGTTGGAACTGCTGATATTGGATTACTATCACAATCAAGTTCTTGTATGGAAAACTTTTTTTATTTGACAAAATATCTTCAAAATATTTCATTGATGGCAACATTACAATCCTCAAACAAGATCGGACCAGTGGAGCATTTAATTGATATAAAAACTAAGCTATCAAGATCAAGTTCTTGTATGTAAAACTTTTTTATTTGTAAAGTGTATAACATTTACGGTGCAGCAGAATTTAACATTTTTTCATTTTTTTTATTCAGTATTATTTTTATGGTGTGGTATTAGGTACAAACAAGTCTGTGTTGCAACTACAGGGGTTTATGCTTTGCAAAGAACATATATTATTTCATTTTAAAGAAATGTTTGAGTGAGCTGAGTGATTCACTAGAGTTTTAAAAAATGTTAGTTAACATATAAAATGTGTTATTTCTTTTATAACAAAAGTAATTCCTTTTAGGCTCTTCACTTTTGAAGTGAATGTGAACTATTCAGAAAATTGCAAGATGCATTTTGCTCACGAGAGAACTTATGTTTTCTTAAGCAATAGTAATTCAAAATTTTCTTATCCTGATATAATGCAAGTTATATAGCATAAACTCATATATAGCAAAATATTGGTGACCATTTCCTTTATCAACTTTCATCAAATATTCCTTATACCAACACCCAAAGATCCTAGATTTATCGATACCTTTTGTTATACGAGGGCCCGAGAGTAATATGATCCACAAATATATTTTCCACAGTGCTGCCTTAGTAACAACTGAAGATACTCTCTCGATATCGTTTATTAACAAAACAATAAACATATTTACAAATCGTTAAATTTTCATAATTCTGCTATGAAAGTAAGAATTTTTTATTTATTTCGTAAAGAATAACAAGTAGACTGAGTTAGTGCGCTTTATTAATATATAATTACTGCTAATAAATCATATACAAATTATATACTTCCTAAGTGCTTTACTTCCTATTTTTGTTTATATTTTTATTTTATATTTTGTTTTGCTAATTGAACTCTTTCCGTCCGGGAAATCACATACACGTACGGTGGTAAGCGAAAGTAGTTTAATAACCGCAACGTCAAACCAAATTTCGTGTATACATTTTTCTCTCAATTCTCTTTCTCCTCCTCCTTTGCCAAACCAAATTAATTCATAACTTCCTATTCGGCGGAAATCTGTCTTTCACTTAGGTATATGGCTAGTCAATAAATTGGAGGGGACGTCACGTCGTTGTAGTCACGGCGAACGCCAGCTAGTCAGTTGTTCTCCTTTAGCCGCTGGCGATTCAGTATAACTGAAGCCAAACAAAAGAATGGCGAATTGAGCGAATGTGTCACGGATGAATGGACGGCGAAACACGGCAACTGTGACGCGGCTAGGGCAGCGGTGGCCACGGCAAGTGCCGTACTGAAATCACTTAAATAATTCCGACCGCCGGCAGTCAATTCCATTAGCATTTTATGGCATGGCAGCTGCACGTTTGCAATGTGCCATACAATTACGCTCCGATGTGCACACATAAGCATAAATACGTATATGTACATGTATAACGGTATTATTACTTTCTACCATATTCCATGCACATATGTATCTATGTATGACAAAAGCATCAAAGGATATTGCAACAAAAAAAAAACGCATAGACACACACCGAAACTGTGAACAGTTATGTCTCTAAAAGAGAGTTTTATATTTATGCATTATTAATTCGTTGTTGATTGAAGGTAATCGACTTCGAATTCGGTAAAGTGGAAATTTCTGTTCCTGCTAGCATTGTGTCAGACAGCCTTGAATATGAATTAATACATGGAAAGAAAGAAACACGTTTCGGTGTAATGCAAATATGTACGTTTTTGTATTTGTTTTTGTCGTTGAATTATTTCATTGCAATAAGAACAGTTACCGCCGGCGCCAGTAAACAATGCACGAACCTGCTTTATCTGTACTTTCACTTACCTCCTTCCAAACACACAGCCCAATCAGCTTTTTCATAATTTTATTGTCTTCCACCGCCAGACTATGACAACAGTGCTGCCAGCTTGTGAGTATATACAAGTATGTGCATGTTTGTATGGCCATGTAAAACGTCAGCACCCTCGGCAAATATTCAAATTTCCGCAATTTGTATAAATTTGATGAGTTGATGGCTCGTTTTGATGGTTGTCTGCTTGCCGCCGATTTGCCACTCACTTTCGTCAGTTTGTCGGTTTTCCGTTGGCGGTTTACCATTGCAACGGTGCTCGGGTCCCTGTACCTCCACGCATCCGGTGGTTCCTAGTTTCCTACTTGAGCGCCTAACACTGCAGAGCCTGCATAATTTGTGTGCCTAAACATAAGCTTGATACTCGCTGACTGTTGATTGTCTCACAAATTGTGCCGCACCATTTTGGCATTTCTCCAGTGTAGCGCTAAATAATTACGGGTCTCACGTATGTGGTGGTGTTAAGTTTCGTGGCCTAACAATATATTATTAAGGTTATGGAAATTGTATAAATTACATACATGGTTTATTTGTGTATACTTTTTTTCGGCTTCGATAGACAAATTATGAAATTTAAATATCGACTGTTTTCTTCTTCGTAAAAGCTTAAATAAAATTGAAAACGGATTTTTCATTGTAAAATACTTTAGAAAGTGGGTTCATTAAATTTTTCTAAAGTTTATAAATTGAACATGTTTATAGAGTGGCTCATAGTTTTACTACTACATAGAAGCAATCACACAAATCTTTCAAGCTTAGAACATTAAAAATTCTCCAAAACCACTCATTATATTTGAAATAGTGCTTGTAGAGCAGATTGCTTTTGAATCGATACATATGTATAATATATATAATTATATTTCCATACACCTCCATGCGCTAGATAGCTAGACAGTCCCGAACCACGTCTCGTCACCAATAATGATGCGTTTGATAAATGTAAGGTCCTCTACTCGACGTTTGTGTTTGTGCAAGTGATTCAGGTATTTTGGTACGCGTCTAACATTGACACGCTTCATACCCAAAACATCAACCAAAATGTATTGAGTTTATCTATAAGAGATCTTGAAATCCTCCGATATCTCTGTGATGCCACTGTGTCTTTAACTTTTTCGTTGTTTTAGTCA